AATGAGGGTGTGTTTCTGGGCCCTCTATTCTGTTCCGTTGTTTAATCTTCTGCCAGGACCCCAGTGTATTGATTCCTGTGGCTGTGTAATGAATCTTGACATCCACTTGTCTAAGTCCTTGAACCTTTTCTTCTTTCCCCAGATGTTTTGGGTGTTCTAGATTTTTTGCGTTTCCGTATACATTTTAGAAACTGCTTGTCGGTTTCTTTAGAAAGCCTGCAGGAATTCTGATCGGGATTGCACTGAATCTAGAGATCCATTTGGGGAGAGTGAACATTGAACCAGTACTGGGTCTTCCAGTCCATACACTGAGTGTATGTTTCTCTTTATTTAGATCTTCTTTAATCTCCGTCAGTAGTATTTTGTAGTTTTCAGCTCATGGCCTTAGCATGTCTCTTATTTATTTATTCCTAAGTTTGGATTGTTCTTTGATGTTATTACAAATGGTCTTGTTTGAAAATTCCATTTTAAAATTGTGTGATACAAGTATATCGGAATGTCATTGATTCTCATCTCCTTGTATTTTGTGGTCTTGCTGCATTCGCTGTGTGTCCCAGTAGTTACTTGGTAGCTGGGATTTCCCATGTAGATAACCAGATTGTCTATGAACAGAATCGGTTTTAATTCTTCCTTTCCACTTTGAGTAACTTTTATTTCCTTTTCTTACCTTATTGCACTGGCTAAGACTTCTAATACAATATGGAGTCGAAGGTGTGAAATCAGGCATTCTAGGCTTTCTTAATCTGAAACACTTTGTGCTTTGTCATCTCAGAGTTCAGAAAGGTCTTAAGGACATTCTATGTGAAATACATTGTCCTCTTTTTATCATCCATCTCAGCATCATATTTAATTCCTTTATATCATTTACCATAAATTACAGTTGTTTTATTTGTTTACTTCTTTGTTGTACGTACCTTACATCAGCTCTTAAGCCCTTTTTGAGAAAAACTCTGTCTACACCATTGCATCTCGGTGCTTAGCGCAATGGCTCCTAGACAGCACTCAGTGAGGGCTGTGTCAAATCAGTCGATGTTGGTAGGAACTTTTAGCAGTTACACAATCTCTCCTCCTTCCTAGTGTTTGAATCTTATGTCTTAAGGGATTTTTTTCGTATTTCTCTTTTCCCCTTTTAAATTTTTTAGGAGGTTAAATTGCAGAATTTCTCATAGAAACCACTTATATTTAATACTTTCAGAAGTTCTTAATTGATATTTTATAAAAAGCAATACAGGGGCTGACCTGTGTATTGACATAGTGGTTAAGTTCAGCATATTCCACCTCGGTGTCCTGGGTTCACGGGTTTGGATTCCGGGCACAGACCTACACCACTCATCAGTGGCCATGCTGTGGTGGTGACCCACATACAAAATAGAGGAAGATTGGCAATAGATACTAGCTCAGGGCTAGTCTTCCTCAGCAAAAAAAAAAAAAAAAAAAAAAAAATTGCAATACAATTCTTTCCACTAACTTTTGCAAAATATTGTGGTGGCAAATTGGGATCATTTGCCTTTCCTGGATGTTATAGACACTCAAAAGTTAATCAGTATTCAGGCAATTTGCAGTGGTTCAATAAAGAAACAAGGGCAAACACATTCCATAATTATCTAGTAAGCAGGTGTTGGGGCCCTGTTTTTTATTCTTTAAAATCTGGAGAAATTGCACTGATGAAGTGAACTTGTTAGGCAAATTGTTTCCTTATTTTTGCCCTTTAGCTCTTGTTCTAATCTGAGTAATGCTTCATTTGTTTTTTTATGTAATTTAAGCCTGATGAAGGTGAATTGCTTTCAGCCTGGAGCACAATGATCTAAAATTTATCCAAAAGCCAAAATATCTTTCTTCTTGCTGCTCCATTTTTAGCAACTGCTGTGATAGAAAGTAAAGCTCCAGTTTATGTACAGACGTGAGGAAAATACTGAATTTTTTCCACTGTAGAATGTTCAAATAATCTTTTGGCTCATCCTACACATTGACAATGGAAATTGCATTAAAGAAATGGGTAAAAACATTTGAAGTCAGATGTTTATTATTCTATTCCCTCTCCCCCTCATCCTTCTTCTTTGCCCCCTCCCTTTTTTCTTCCTTTCTTCTTTCCTTGTTTCCTGCCTGCCTTTCTCCTCCCCTTCCTCCTTCCTTTCTTTGTCCTTTCTCCTGAGCTCACTCTGTGTCACAGTCGGTGTTTTTGTCGCTGCAAATGCAGTAGAGAATGAGACATACACAGCCTGTCCATATGCAGCTTACCTCGCAGTGGGGAAGGTTGAGAATAAAGAAGTAAAAAACATAGGCATATGGTAGGTTTTGGTAGTCGTAAGTGCTGTAAACAAGTTGTCAGTGTTTGTGTGTGTATGTACGCGAACACGTGGGCGTGCACGCGCATGTGTTTGTGAGAGAGAGAGAGGAATGGATGAGAGATGAGAGCGACTGAGGATCACAGAGGGCCTTTCTGAGGAGGAGGAACATGTGAGCTGAGCTCTGACGGTTCCTAAAACCCAGGGAAACAGAGTTTCAGGAAGTGGGGATAGCAAGTTAGAACCCCTGAGAACGGATTGAACTTGGTGTTAGAGAAACTAGAATACAGGCACTTGGCCTGAGACACGTGAGCTCGGGACAGAATCTAGCAACAAGGCTGGAGAAGAAAGTAGGGACTAGATTCTGGAGGCCGTGAGAGGGCGCGATGAAACACTTTCCATCTGCTTCCAAGGGCCGGTCAGAATCTAGTGGTCCATGCATCGTGTTATTTCGTTTTGTCATTGAGACATTTTAAAGACGTCTCTAATATGATCAGAATACCTAAATTCAGATTCTCATTTTAGTTTTTCGGTTCCAAAAATAGAAAAAGAAATACATGAAGCAGAAATTGACAGAACTGAAAAAAGATGAATAAATCCACAATTACAAATGGCGATTTTAACAGTCCTCTGTCGATCATGCATAAAATAAACAGACAGACATTTATGCAGTGAGGGCTGAGAGGACAGACCCGGGTAACCTTGTCGACCAACTTGGCTTAATTGCCTTTTTATTTTGCTTAATGAAATGCTCCGCCCTATACGCTGCTGTTTTTTCAAGTGCACCCGAAACATTCACCTAGATGGAGCAAATGTGGGACCCAAACCGAGTTTCAGTAAATTTAAAAGCATTGAAATCATATTGAATCTGTTCTCTGACCACAACAGAATTAAACAGAAGTCAGCATCAGAAACATACGTGCCAGAAAACCCCCAAAATATCTGGAAGTTAAACTATACATTGTTGAATGACTCATGAGTCAGAGAAGAAATGACAAGGGGGATTGAAATTACTGTGAAATGAATGAGAACGAAAAGACAACCAATACTCTTACTTAAAAATAAAAATATTAACGTGCGAATGGGTAGAGATTTGCATCTTCAGCTCTTCCTGCTTGTCTGCCTCTTGAATTTCCTGTCTCCTTCGTATGTGGCCTCACCCTCACCACAGTTCCTTGATAAGATTAGTGTGGCCCTGCTTTTGCTGCCGATCTGCCCCCAACCCTGGTTAAGGCTGGCCTTGCCCGTTTAGCTTGAGTTGTCCTAATACTTTTAGTTCCAATGAGCAAGCATCTACCATTTTCTTTTCTTTTTTTTTTTTGAGGAAGATTAGCCCTGAGCTAACATCTGCTGCCAATCCTCCTCTTTTTTTTTGCTGAGGAAGAGTGGCCCTGAGCTACACTAACTGTGCCCATCTTCCTCTACTTTTTATGTGGGATGCCTGCCACAGCATGGCTTGCCAAGTAGTGCTGTGTCCACACCTGGGATCCGAACCAGCGAACCCCAGGCCACTGAAGCAGAACGTGCACACTTAACTGCTGTGCCACCGGGCCAGCCCCATGTCTGCCATTTTCAAAGGTCATGTTCCTGGAACTATGTAGGGGAATTTATGGAGCAAGAACAGACAAGTTCAAGTTACATGATTCTGACGCTAACTGGAATGAAAATCTTGTCAAAACTGCTTCCTTTGTGTCCGTCCCACCTGGGGAATTCGGGTCTGCCTTCTCTCTGCAAAGTAGACTTTCTGTGAGTCTTTCTTCAGTTCCTTTCTGTGACTTCTGTTTCTTCTAGCAATCCTTTGCTTGTTTTGTTTTTGTCAGTTGTTTTTAACTTTTTATAATCTTCCAGTATCTCCACCCTCAGTGTGGTAACAGTTTGTCCTACTCAACCTCATTCTTGCTTTTCAGCTTGCCTGTGTGTTAGGCATTAAGCTGGACATACATTGGCAGATGGGGTGGGAGACATGAATCTGATAATTAATTGGAGTATGCTCAGTACTCTCACAGAGGCATGTTGGAAAGCCCACGTAAACATATATTTAGTTAACAAGTATTTATTGGCCTCCTACTGTGTACCAGGCACTGTGCATGGGGGCGGTATTCCAGGCATAAGGGACTGGTTGTTTAAAGATGAAGCGTGGAGTTGTATAGGAGCAAAGAATGATCTGGGAATGTGCTCTGGCATGGGGCATTTGGTGGGGACTCTGAGGGACTTTGGGGTAGTAAGTGGTGAGAGAAATGTATAGTATCTCCAGTATTCAGCTAGAAAGGTTGTGAAAGTCTGTCTGTCTTTTTAGGGAGTTTAGCCCTGTTTCTGTGGGCACAGTGTTTATCAGCTCCATGGCAACCCTAACCAACACTCCCACGCTACCCGTATCTCTGACTTCGTGGTCACCCTTCTGCTTGCTCTAGTAACCAGTGGCTCTAAGTGGCGGTGACCACCAGCCCTGCTTATGGTGCATTTTTAAAAAGTGGGAGGGGGGCTGCCCGTCGAGAAGGAACCCCAGACCAAGGAGCCCAGTATGTGGTCCTCTTGCTTCACCTGGAGTGTTTCCTTCTCGAGTATAATTAGCCTCTTGAAATCTTTATTTATTTACTTTTTTCAAGGTAGGGGAGGAAGAGGTTGAGGTATGAACACATTCCTTTGAAAACATCCTGTGAGGTAAAAAAATTCGATTTATTGCCCACCCTGAAATTTTCTATTCTTTTCCTTTAGGTTTCTTGCTATTTAAAGATTTTTGTTTGAATGAAATTAATGAAGCTGTCCCTCAGGTGAAGTTTTATGAAGAGGTAAGAAGTTTTACTGATGCTTTTCTTTCAAAAGCATATTTAAACTGTCCTTTGGAAAATATTAAGACTACTAAATATCTTACAAATATTCGTTGAGAGTAATTAGAAGTACAAGATATGATATGTGGTTTATTAGAGATGTGACAACATCTGTAAAAATCATACTTTTAAAGGCTTTAGAATGCTCTGGAAGCAGTGAGGGATGTGTATATATATGTATATATATCTAGTTGGGCTAAGTTTCTAGAGATGAGAGAATCATTCAGAGGTGCCCTGGGGATTACCAGCCATTTGGTTTTCTGCAGAAGCCTGCTGATTCTGGAGATGACGCTAGGCAGAAGGCTACTACTGGGCGAAAGAGAAACTAGCGAAGTTTTCTGATCACACATTGCTGAAGTGACAAATCTGAGACTTGGTGGGAGGCGGGGCCCTCAAACACACAGCTGGTTTTCCCAACGAGACATTTGGAGGGGAGCTGGAGAGAGAAGCCAACAGCTTCTAGAAGACACGTTGACATCCCCCACTGCCCTACCGTGTTGTGCTGAAGTGTAGACCTGCTGTGTCAGGAATCTGAAAACTGAACAGGCCTGAGAGGAAACCCTGGGAGTGGTCCACCGACACTGACGATCTGTAGCTGCTTATCGCCTGGGGCAGCTGTTGATTCCAGCCGTGGTGGGCAGAGAAGAGTCCAGCTCTGTCCCCTGGCAGAAGGCTGCTTCTGGGAGACAGAAAAACCAGAAGAGGTTTCTGGGCCTAGAGAAAAAAAACAAGTGAAACTGGAGAAACCCCAAACACGTGGTTAGTCTCCCTCTTGAGATGTATGCCAAGTTTTGAAGCCGAATGAGGCAGGAGGCCAAAGAGCTGTTGTGAAGACGTCTGGAGGGCAGCACTGAATCTGGGGCTGAGGAGACAGTGAGCGCTCACTGCGCTCCATGGAGAGGCTGCCTTAGCAAGCGGGCAAACCAGAGGCAGACGCAGTTCTGCAAAAATGGCAACTGAGCCCCAGCCCAGCTTAACCCCTTAGTGGCTTATGAGCCCCCTCCCCACCTGTGTAACAGAGCACAAGGGGAGCCCTCTCTGTCCTTTTCTATAGGTGGAAAATAATATAGAGAGACTCTCCAGTATTCAGCATACAGTAGAAAATTCTTAGACATCTAAGAGGCAAGGTAATGTGGCTCACAAACAAGGGAGTAGAAGCAGACCCACAGATGAATCAGATATTGGAATTAGTTGACAAGTACTTAGAAATAACTATAAATAATATGTTCAAGACAATAGAGGAAAAGATGGATAGCATAGATGGAGGAATGGTGAATTTCAGCATAATTTGAATTCATTATGAAGAACCAAATGGATGTTCTAGAACAATAAGTACAATATTTGAAGTTAGAACCTTGTGGCTAGAACCTAGCAGATTGGTTACAGCATAAAACAGGATTAATAAATAGGGAGGCAGTCAGTAGATAATCTCAAACTGAAGCACACAGAAAAAGGAATGTACAAAAGAAATACATAAGGACATTAAAGACGTGGGACGTGGTTAAAAGAAACGTGTTGAATTGGAATCCCAAAAAGAGAAGAAAGAGAATGGGGCAGAAGTAATATTTGAAGAGATTATGCTAAGAATTTTACAAAAGGATGAAAGACAGCAGCTTAAAGATGCAAAGAACTTGGAAAACCCTACACAGCGTGAATACAAAGGTAACACACCTTTGCACATTGTTATAAGTCTGTGGAAACCTACTGCAAAGAGAAAATCTTCAAATCACCCGGAGGGTGGAAGGAGACACGGTGCTGTTAAAGGAGCCATAATACGGCTGACCTGACTGTGACATCTGAAAAGAAATGGTAAAGAAAAAGGCAGACAGGGAAATGGCCATCTTTAAAGTAATGAAAGAGGAAAAACTGCCAATCCAGAATTCTATTCCCAGCAAAAATTTCCTTCCAAAATGAAAATGAAATAAAGACATTTTCAGACGAAACCTGGGAGAATTTGTCAATAGTGGACCTGCGTTAAGATAAATACTAAAGAGAGATACTATAGGCAGAAAGAAATTGATCCCAGATGGAAATGCGAGAAGGAATGAAGGACGTTATACAGGGTCACTCTGTTTGTAAAATATAAATGAATATTAAACATGGAAACAATAATATAATGTTTTAGGTTTTTCAAATGTATATAAAACTAAAATCTATGACAGCACAAAAGGCAGGAGAAGGGTTCAAGAAGTCAAGTATTTTAAGATTCTAGGATTATTGGGGGAGGATAGTAAAAGTAATAATTTGTGTTGGCTTTTAATCAGTTAAGGATACATACTGTAATCTCAAGGTAACCTTCAAAAGAATAAAATGTGTGTATCTAACAAGTTAAAAGAGGAAAAATGGAATTAAACAACGTTGGATTAATCCAAAATAGGACACAAAGAGAGGACATAAAATAGATGGGTCAAATTGAAGACAAAGAATAAGATGCTATAAATTTATCTACATAAGTAATTGCATTTAACGTAAATGGACTGAATATTCCAAGTAAAAGAATAAGTTTACCTGGATAAATAATCACACTCTATTATATATTGCTTACAAGTAACATACTTTAAACAGGAGGATGGAAGAAGATAGACGATTCCAACATTAACCAAAGCCAAGCTGTAAATCAACACTAATATCAGACAAACTGCACAGTAATGCTGCTTGGAGAGAAAAAGAGATTATTTCATGATGATAAAGGGGTCAGTATCACAATCTTAAATCTGTATGTTACAAATAACATAACTTCAAAATATAAAAAGCAAAAGTGGACGGATCTGAAACAAGACAACTCTACATTCCTACTGGACGACGTTAACACACTCTTCAGGAGCTTATAGAACAAACAGACAAAACACTGGTAAAGATAGAGAAGGTCTTAATAAAGGGATGAATAAATTTGACCTAACTGACGTAGACAGAATGCTCCATCCAGCAAAAATGGAATTTGCCTTCTGTAAAGTACACGTGGAAGATTTATCCAAATGGATCGTATGCTGAGCCCTGAAGAAAGCTTCTACAGATTTCACGATCAAAATTGTTCAGAGTCTGCTCTGACCACAAATGGAATTAAGCTCAAATTTAATAAGAGTTTACTAAGAAATCCCTAACTGCCTGGAATGAATATGCTTCTAAATAATTTATGGGTCAAAGAAGAAATTAAAACAGAACTTAGAAAATATTTTTAATTAAAATGTATTTAAGAAATAACATATGCTGTTATTAGCATGATGTATCTTTACCCTAAAGCATTTTAAGTGGTCCAAAGAAGGCAAAGCATAATTTGAACTAATTTTAGTAATCTTTGTATGTTTGAAAATTGGAGAGAGATTCCTTTCTTTCTGGTTTATTGATATACATGAAGAGTTGATATTTTTCTGTACTTTTTAGATTATATTAATGTATTTCCAAGAAGAATGGTCAAATTATGGTGTACATTCAGCATCATGTAAAAAAGTAAGGTAAATCCAACAGGATTTTACTCAGTACGAAGAACTCTATTATTTCCGTCTGAATCATAATCAGGCGTTTTGTCTGGATGAGTATGACAGCTTGATCTGTCAAAAAAAATTTCTTTCTTGTGTCTTAGAAGCTTCGCTCTCCGGTTTCAGTGTGTGCTGAGTCGCCTTGTGAGACTCAGAGAAATCTCCTTTAATAGATAAATCTTGCTAGGTTGAAACAGACGGGCCGTCGACATGGGGTTATTCTTAAGCACTTCTTGCCGGTGTTGGTGACCGATGCTGATGTGTCTTCATCTGAACTTGAAATGTTGGAGCTTCTCTTTGTTGGCTTGCTCCCCAGCGCTTCTCTTTCTCTTCCGTCTCCGCACACGGTGGGTCTTGTTGACCAGATTATTCCCGTGGAGCGTAATGCTCCACGGCTCCTCAGCAGCTTGCTCGATACTCTTACTGAAGATACCGTCCAGCCTTGGGGCATCACGTACCGTTCTCGAAATCAGTGAAGCCTTTAGGCATTGAAGTTATCAATAATTCTCTGACTCCTCGGTTTCATCATTTCTGGTGGTTGTTTTATGACCCCAAACCCCAAGGAAACTCTTGTCAGACATCTTGAAATGTATGTTTTGTTATATGGTATTCTACTTTCCTGTGTCCCCAGACTTTTAATGCTTAACCTATTTCCTGTGCATTAAAGTCCAAAGAGCTTGTCCTGACATGCACCTGTCTCTATATGAGTAATCACCTACCTTTCCCTCTTTGTCTTTCTCCACCTTCTTACATAGAACTTCCACTAACCAACATTCCCTGAACCCACCAAGCCCATTCTCGTTTTTGTTGCTTTGCTTATGTCCTTTCCCCAGCCTAGAACCGGCTTCCCCTTCTTGCCTTGTGGAAGCCTCGCTTCTTTTGTGGTCTAGCTCGCTGTCTGTGTTCCCCACCGAGTCTGTGTGTACGGCTATCCCAGTCTTCCGTGATCGCTTCCTCCTTTGATCCTCACACCATGCGTTGTCTCTAACGCTGGTGTAGTGCTTAGTATATGCTTGCTGCGTGCGTGCGTGTGATCAGTGTTTTCATCGTGACCATTAGTTGACTCGCAGACAGAAGGCCTAGCTAGGGTTAGGGGCAGCTGTGCCTCTCACCTGCCGTGTGATGTGGGGCCAGTGACTGAACACACTCTGGAGGCCTGCCTGGTTTCAGATCCAGAGCTTACAGGTGCGAGCAGTACAGTGTCCCTGCTCTTAAGGGGCTCACAGCATGCGGACTTCATATTGGAGCTTCTGTGACCTCATCTATGAAAGGAGGCGCAAATAGGATACTGGATGCACAATCACTTTCTAAACCAGAATATTTATAATATGCTGTTTAGGTATATGGGTGGCCGTACATAATGGTCAAGAGTTCACGCTCTAAATTCAGACTGCCTGGGTTTGGATCTGGACTCCCCTAGTTACTAGCTGCATAAAACTGGGCAAGCGGTCCAGCTTTTCCCCCTGGGTTTCCTCGGCTGAGAAT